CAAGTATCTGCTGGACAGCCCCTCGCTGCGCCTCGATGCCCCCATCTTCGTCACCTTCTTCCAGTGTGCCCTAACAGCCGCCCTCTGCCTGGGCCTCAGCCTAGGGGCGGCCTGTGGGCCCCCCTGCGCTGGCCTGCCCACCCTCCGCCTCGACCCCAAGGTGTCCCGCAGCGTCCTGCCCCTCTCGATTGTCTTCATCGGCATGGTCACCTCCAACAACCTCTGCCTCAAGCACGTTGGCGTGGCCTTCTACAACGCGGGGCGCTCCCTCACCACCGTCTTCAATGTGCTGCTCTCCTACCTGCTTCTCAAGCAGACCACTTCCCTCTACGCCCTCCTCGCCTGCGGAGTCATCATAGGTGAGGGGGAGCGGGAGGGGGCTGCACCCACCCCGTGGCTGGGCCCACAGCCTTGGAGAGCTGGAGGTGGGGTGTCTTCCCCCCGGGAGACACTGGCACAGGTTGCCCAGGGAAGCTGTGGGTGCCCCCTCCCTGGAAGTGTTCAAGGCCAGGTTGGACAGGGCTTTGAGCAACCTGGTCTAGTGGGGGGTGATCTTTAAGGTCCCTTCCAACCCAAGCCATAACGTGATTCTGTGAAACCATCCCCGTGTTTATGGCGGCTCCCTGGTGATGGGGGGTAGCTCAGGGCTTGTGCCTTGCTTTGCCTTGGGCAACTTGCTTTGCATGTCTGGAGCGTGTAGGTGACTCATTAAGAAAGGAAACTACTCTTTCTTGACCATGGCTCCCTTTTTCCTTTGAGCACTAAAAACTCTACTCTCTAATGAAGTTTAACTCGCCTTCCCTTTTTTTCTTTTTCCTCAAAGCCCATAAAGCAACAGGTGGCTTTCTCCCTCTTCTCAAGTGCTTGTTGATCATTAACTTTGGTAACAATAACAGTATTTATATCAGCACCATTGGGAACATACAACAGAGCCAGCCAATTCAGACAGGCTGAATGCATGTGATGAAAGGTTAGCTGATCAAGCCAAGTGTAAAACATCACTAGAAGGGCTGGTTGTGTGGTTCGAAGGTAGGGCAGGGCATTGACTAACTTAATGGGAATTGCTTATGAGCCTTTCATTCCAAAGGCATCGGTTATGCCAAAAACTACCTGCCACTGGAGGGCCATTGAAATGCCAAGGGTGGTGAAATGTTGATTTCATTCCACTTCCAGGTGGCCATGTGTTCACTTTGGTGCTTAGACAAGTAGATGGACTTGGATGAAAGTGAGATGAGAGTCTCCTGACCATAGAGAAGGTGAACAGGAACAGAACTACTGTTTTTTCCACCCAACTGATGCAAACAGTTGCCTTCAGCTAGTCTTGTGTTCGAATATTGCCTAGGACTACGGCATCTGCCAGCCTTACAGGGTTTCTCTAAGACATTGTCCCCGTGGCACCACCTCCTTTTGCTGTGGGAGCATTGCCTGTGTGCCTATAGCAGCATAGCTGAGCATCTTCTGTGGCCTGACACAGAGCCCTTCCTGTCTGTGTATTAAACGTATTTGTGTTTGGGCTTAGTTTGAAGCACATTAGCTGCTTTGTAGGCAACTTCTCAGGCAGCCTCCAACATGAAGCAGCTAATGGAGAGGCGATGCAGTGCTCCTTTAGTAGCTCATCTCCCTTCTTATGTTTTGCATTTGAGCTGGATAGGGAGAGGTCTCCCTCTTTGCCCTGGAGACACAAAGCCTGTAGCTCTGGTTCTGGAGGTGGTTGAGGAGTGCATTACCCATCAAAGGAGTTTAACGTGTTGAAGACACTGCACTCAGTTTCTACCTTCTGATCTTTTTTTTAATCAAGTTTCTTAATATTATATTCATGTGTTCATTACCTTTCCATCTTCTTTTCTGACCTTTCTTTCCCTTCCAGTGCCAGTTAACAGCGCAGTGAAGCCTTTCTTTTCTAAAAAAACCAACGACCTTGAGGAATAGTTCTTGCTACCTGTGTGTCAGTTTGCTGCCTTTTCAATTAAAAAAAATCACAGTCTCCTTGTGAAAATGACTTATACACAAAGAGTAGCTTTAACTTTAGTTCATGGCTCTTTGGAATATTAGTCTATATAATCACCTGCTCAGTGTGGGAATCAGTCCTCTGAGATTGAATGATAGCACAGCAAATTAACCACACTCCCAAAGTAAATCTTCCCAGGATGTTAGTCATGACACTTTTGGAAAGAAAGAGGAAGCCCTTATGCCTGTCTCTGCTTGTGGTTGTGGTTTTTCAGTGTAAGGTAGATAATGAATTGCTGACCTTGTATGGTTTTGAGTCCTTCAGCAGTTGTGCAGATGATGTCTGATTTGTTTGGTTGCAGGTGGCTTCTGGCTGGGTGTTGACCAGGAAGGAGCAGAGGGCACTCTGTCATGGACAGGTATATTCTTTGGGATCTTAGCAAGCCTCTGTGTCTCACTCAATGCCATCTACACCAAGAAGGTGCTGCCTGTGGTGGATGGTAGCATCTGGCGCCTGACCTTCTACAACAACGTCAATGCTTGTGTCTTGTTCTTCCCCCTCATGCTGCTGCTGGGCGAGTTCCGCACCCTCTACCACTTCGACAAGCTGGGGAGCCCCAGTTTTTGGGGCATGATGATCTTGGGAGGAGTGTTTGGCTTTGCCATTGGCTATGTGACCGGACTTCAGATTAAGTTCACCAGCCCGCTCACCCACAACGTGTCTGGGACAGCCAAGGCCTGTGCCCAAACAGTGCTGGCCGTGATCTACTTTGAAGAGACAAAGAGCTTGTTGTGGTGGACGAGTAACTTGATGGTTCTGGGAGGCTCCTTTGCTTACACGTGGGTGAAAGGGCTGGAGATGAGAAAAGTGCAAGAGGATCCTAACGTCAAAAGCGGCGAAAGAAATGAGACTGGTGTGTAGGCAGCCCCTGCACCTCCATTTCTGTGCCTGGGCATTTAACCTTTGGTGCTCCTTCCATCCAGGGGAGAAGAGCAGCAAGGAGCAGGAAGAAATTCACCTGCAAAGTGTATGAGGAACTGTGTCAGGAACCAGAGCCAAAGACCTGACTGGATCATGTTTTATCCGTGGGATCTCACCCTGTATCGGAGTTGGGGAGGGCATGTGTTGTAGAGAGCAGTAAGGGTTTTTGTGATTGTTTTTTAAAATGGATGTTCCTATTGACCTAATCTGGGCAATTTGCATCTCTGGGGGAGGGAGGGTGGACTCATAGTGGACAATGGCTGGGATGAGAGCTTTGTGTAGTTGGGGATCCAGAATTGACTGAATGAATGCCGTATGAATTTACAAAACCTTGAACCTCCATGTAAGGAAGAGGCAGGTAGGCAGGCTATTGCCACCAAATCTCCTTTCCAAAGAGTCTGTAACCACATCCTGCTGAGGGTCTCTCTGTGTTTCTCTCCACCTTGGTTCTTAGTTCAGGAAATCATGCTAAGAATCAGAAATGAAACTTCCCTCTGTGCTGTCCCCTGCATGGGAGAGCATGCTTTCCCAAGTGGCCTTTCTTGGGGACGAGTGAGCTTGGCCTCTGCTTCTCTCGGTGACCGGCAGGAGGGGAAAAGTTCTTCTGAAGCACTTACTTCTGAAGGGTGGAGATCCTAGTTCATGGGGTTCACAACACTTGTCCTCTTTACCCTCTGTGTAGTGGGTAGGTTTGAAAATGGGGCTCTTGCTAATCAGGCTTATTTTGGGGGACTTGTTCCATACCTACTTTGGATCTTCTCTGGTGTTTGCAGTTTGTTCATTCCTTTTAAAGGTCCCCCCATGGCCAGCTCAGTAAATCCTTCACCCCCCCAAATACTCATTTTGCCCAGCTGCACCAGTCCCTTTACTGGAACCCTACTGCTGAACAGTTAGCTCCGCAGAAATAGCTGCCTCCTATGTGGTCCCGTGCAAGTGCTACCTGAAGTTACTCTGTGCCATGATTTCTGACCCAAAGAGTCAGCAGCAATACTCTATAATCAGCTGTGATGTTGCACTGGCTTTCTAAACCCTTGTCCCCTTTGCCCAATAACCTAAAGGGTTATGGGATAGTGGTCCTGAAGCAGTTGCTGCTTCATACCCATGGATCCTACAGGATGTACCATGCCCCGTCTGGGATATCTGGTCCCTCCTACAGAAGGACACTCAAGGATATCCTAGGACGCCTAGGATATGTTCCTATCTAATTTTAGGGAGCTCCTACTCTGGGTTTCATGAACACAGATCTCCTTTTAGGTGCAAGCTGCCATTTGAGGGGTCCTTCAATGTTCTTTTTTATGGGAACTGGTTTGAGTTTTTTTTAATGCTGCACATGCTGACTTGTAACGGCCCAACCTGCTGAATAAAGTCGGGGGTCGCTCTCGGGGTCTGATGAGGGGTAGAAGCGACGTTTGCAGCGTTGATCGCGATTGGTTGTTGGGGAGGCCGCGACAGACCAGCTCTGGGAGCGGCCGTTAGGGGGCGGCAGAGAGCGTTTAGGTCCCCGCCGCCCGCTCCGCCCTCCCCGCGCTGATTGGCTGACGCC